TGAAATGGAGAAAGGATAGTGGTGGGCCGGTGGACCCTTCAAACCCAGTTGAGGGCACGATACCAGAAGAGAAGAAAGAAGTTCGCTCCCAACATTCTCCTGGAAGTAGGGAGTTAAAAAGCCCTTCTACTCCCGCAACCAAAGTGCGCAGATCTGCCTCCTCATTGTCCACTGGAAGCCCCAAACCTGCACCTAAATCCCCTAAATCCATCCCGAGTCCTAAACCAAAGCCCAAAAACTCTCAAATCACCTCAGCCTCCAAAAGTCAGGACGTATCCCAAAAAAGCTCAGGCTCCAAGCCAACTCAAAATGGGACTTCATCTCTGGGGTCTTCACCAAGCCAAGCAAGCTCTTCAGGGCTTCAGCGTCCAAGAGCAAACTCTAGCTCCACTCGAAGCACCTCCAGAGACAGTTTGTCCCAGTCCAATGACAGCCTCTCACGGCAGTCGCTCGTGCCTGACTACATGGTGCGTTCTCAGAGCTTCACTCACTTCAAGCAACTGCCCTCACCAACGTCCGCACCCATGATGCGCTCCTTCTCTTTCAACAAGGCAGTGGAGCTAGCCAAACCGCTTGCTAATACACAGCTTCGTCCTCCGCGAACAGTTGGACTCAAATCTCCTTTGAGCCTGAGCAAAGGCCGTCTAGTGCTCGGATTGGGGGGCCTGGGATTTGGAAAGGGGATAACAGATAGACTACCTGCTGGGACTCCTTCTTCAGAGAGTTTAACACCTCCTAATTCCATAAAAAGGCCTCTTCTGCCTAACTCTGTGCTGACAAAACCCTCATTACAAGCCTACAAGCTAAATCGACCAATTCCTGCCAAACCGCAGTGCCCTCTAGTGGTTGGGAGGAGCCCAGTGGAGAGTGACGTTATAACTCCGCCTCTCACTCCCGAGTTGCTCCATTTTACTACAAAGAATGTGAGTGTCTGACTCTATAATTTATATTATCCTGTATAATTTAATATTTTGGATTACAGTCTGATATTTTGTGCAGTGGTTAAATAAATAGTTTCCAAATTACTTTGTTTCTTCTGTGGGACATGAGAGAAGTAGCATTGTCATATTTGTCATTTTACCACTATTCACAATTTTCTTATTTATTAGGGGTTAATTTGTAATTGTATTTGTTTGAATGTAATTGTAATTGTTAGAATGGCCAAGAATATAATTTTTAGAATGGCATTCCCCACCTAAAACTGATCAGGCAGACCAAACCTTAAGTCGTAGAGACTTGAAACTTGGAGGGATGGTAGTACTCACAC